CCTTAGCAGTTGAGCAGAAAGAGGATATTTTTGCTTTTATTCAACTGTAAAAAAACGACCTTAACTATTTTTTACATTAAATTCACTGGCATGAGCCTTTGTTTGACAACTGCCTTTTTTAACGTATGAGCTAAATATTAATTTTATGAAGTATTCAGGCTAACAATACACTAACTTTTGTTTTTCTGTTAAGTGAAACGTCGTCAAAGCAAAATTTTTATTTATTTACATTCCATTTAGAAAGACGTATTTGTTTTCTACGCTTGGTTTCACCGCTGCTGCTTTTACGATTGGTAGTTTGAGTTGGTGGACTCCAAACTTTTTCATTTATTGCGACCGGATGCATGGTATAACTGACTCGGCTGCTAAGTGAGGTACTTTATTGGTGGTGTTGTTTGTTCAGATGTCATTTTTAGGGCGAACTTGATTTTTGGTATTATCACATGCGTCGCCGGGTTCGTAGGCGTTGTGACTGGTTCGACAGTGGCACAGATCTGGCGAATGACTAATCCGCGGGCGGATTCGCTGGTCTGTGGCTTGGGGCTAGTCGCCGTTGTTCCGTTCCTGTACGTTGCTCTCAATATTCTTCAGATTAGTGAATCCGCTGCTTACGTAAGTTCAGCTATGATCTTACTTCTAGATGCTGGGCAGGTCTGATCTGTTATTGCACTGTTGCTGCTGTTAACGAGTTTTCTTACATTTCTAGCACGAACATAGTACTCTTACGTAGCTTTTTATTTCATATGCAGTAGCACAGCATGATTTTGCTAATATATTGCTTTCATATCTGCCCATCTTCCAGTGAAACAATCGTACATTTTACGTTTGAAAGTAAACACGGTATTTCAGGAAATGTGAGTTCACATTCCGCATAAGGAGGACATGTATTTGACATTTGCTCAGCCTTAATGGCTCAAGATCATCACGTGTAGTCCTTGTTGAAGCACTACATTAATGAACTGTGACCTACGTTGATGGCTACGTTAAACGTTCCGTGGTCCGTTAGCCTGCGGGAGCAGTCGAAGTCTATATGTGTCCAATTCTTGAGGAGGATGCTTCCTCCCCTCCGTGAATGATTTCAGCCGTTCTAAGAATTGTGAACAAATGCCTCTGTTGATAGCATCGCCACATGGTCAGACATGGTAGTTCTTCAACTACGTTTGTATGAGTAACGGAAGAGAGTCCTTGGAGTTCAGCTTCGGTGTCTCCACGTGTAAAAATCTGTGTAGTTAATGATGTCCGCAATTTACAGCGTTCAGATTTCAGCTTCATTCATTAGTACGATAGAGTATTGAATTAGTAGACTCGTATCCTGATGCGCAGTGACAGAGCTTGCTTGCAATAGAAGCAATGTAGGATTAACGACCAAGATGAACTTGATGATTCTAAAAACCCCTTCGATGTTATCATAATCCTTCTACATCTGTTAAGGTTAAGAGAATTGCGGGCAAGACTGAAAGAGGAATGCCATTTACATTATTGCTAGCTATTCTTGTTTTTGTTTGTTCGTTGCCAGTTTCTGTGCATTTTAGTAAGTTTAACCTTCCACAGCAGATAGGAATGAAATTGATTTACTTTTTAATTTAGCTGTCTTTTATTTTACAATTTTTTTAAATTTTAGCCGTTGGTCTTCATCACCGTTACCTTGCTTTGTCTAAACTGGGCCCTGTTGTCAGACATTTTGCTGGTACGCTTTTCTTTGAAATTTTCTGTAACCGGGTTTTGCATGTTTTCTCAGTTTAGTCCGTAATAGCTCCAAATCGAAGGTCAACAGCCAGCGCCTTTCAAATTCTGGTTTCTCATCTCTGTGGAGACGCTGTTAGTCCTTATATCATTGGACAGGTATAATCATTAGATATTGTTCAGCCTTTTACAGATTTGTTCCTGTATTCCCCAACTGTCAAGAGGTCTCGATCGAAAGTTGATTTCTTGTATTTTTTTTGTCTTTTTTGGGAGCGGGGGGGGCATTGCGCTGACTGTACTGAAAGCATTCAGCTATCACTCGGGTCAAGGCGAAGTGAAAAGGGACTGTCATCAAGCCTGCATGGCCGTATATCTCGTTTATTCTAGGCCACACCAGAACTCCACTCTGTTTCTGTTGTTAGCATGTCAGCGTTGACACCTCGTTTTCAGCTGGTTGCATAGAAGCAACGTGAAGCAAATTAGCGGGCGTAAAGACGAAATTTTCCTTTCTCGGGACTCGTTCCTTACACCTTCTGAGTTCAAAGCCGACCTTTACCACTGTGTCACCATTCGCACTAATTGTTAATCAAGATAATTGATTTTGCAGAACTGACTATCAAAAGCGTTCAACGACAAGTGCAAGCGAGGCAAAAGCCCGTAAATTTTTTTAACATGAAATTTTTGAAGCAAATTGTAGTAAAAAAAACTATTTCAATTTATGTCAGTGCAGTTGTTGTTTGTTCAGATTTCGGCATCTATGTAATGATTTTAATTGATATAGTTGCATTCTACCTAGTGTTTTTGCGTTATTCCGTGCAGTAAATCTCATAGTGGTAGATCGCCTCATTTATCTGAAACATGCAGGCTTCAACAGAACCTCATGTAGTTTGATTGGGATGCCTCCATCTTTTAAAAGTCACGCACCATAACATTCAGTCATCATCTTCATGTAATCATATTCCTTGCGAAAGTAGTCAGTTATTTGATCAGTTGATGGCTGATAGCAATCCACTCTGTTGAGGTGCTCACCTTCATACCTGAACTAAACTATTAGTAGGTAATGAATAGCTATGCTCCAAAGGTTAACTCAAGGAGAAACTTTGGATTTGTACGGTGGTGTTTTCGTAGTTATCTAATGAAATTATCCTTCTAATGATCACTAGCTGGTGCCAAATGGAGATGAGTTTTGTGCTCCGCATTTGTTTATCAGCAGAAGTTTCAGATAAGGTCTACAACTGAGACAGAAATCCCAGCTAAAGGTATCGAGATGTGCGCTGATACGATTTCTTTGTCATAGTAAGCTTCTGTAAAATAACACTCCTGAAATGGCAGCCGTTTATGGAAGTTTCATTTTAAGGTTGATGAACTATTTTTAACCTTAAGTCATTTCTTTTAGCGTTTAAATTGATAACATAATTTAGGTATCTGATATGATTCACGGTTCAGATGACGGCGACACC